GTTTTAATTGTTCACAGGATTTTGTTGGGGTTTATATGATCCCTTACTTTGTATCTTTGATTGTACTTGCCGATTTGGCTGTTTAATTCTAAAGTGATTTTCGTGTTAAAAAAAAAAAGAATAATACTGATATTTTTAAAAAAAAGAAAAAAGAAAAAAGAAAAAAGAGAATGACATAATTATAGGGCGCTTTGGTTTATAGTCAAATTTGAAACAAACTCATAGATAATAATACCCAGAGTAGATGAATAATGTAGCAAGCTTGTTGGTTGTGTTAGAACGGAAAATTCCCCAACAATGAAATGGCAAATGCTGAAATTCCGATAAATTTAGCATATTATTCGTTTCCACCGCAGATCCTGGAAGGAAATTCCTTTTCTTCCCTTTCTTCGTAACTGAGATTCATATTTACACCATTTTCAATTAATTACGCTCGCCATTTCTTTGGAGGAAGAAAAAAAAACCCCCCGAACAAAGGAAAATCGAATTAATTTCTCTTCTAGAGAGAGAGACAGAGGAGGAGAGAGAAAGAAGCAGAGACGACGAAGAAGAAGAAGACGCGGGAGTTTTGGAGCATATGATGCTTTGTGATTCACTGAGCGATCGAATACAGCCATGGCTTCGTGATTACGACAGGCTTCAGTCATTCGCCGTTTTCCTCATTTACATTCAGGTAATTTCCAATTTCTCCATTAATTTTCATCGAGATTTTCTTAGGGTTTTTATTTTTTTTTATTTTTTTGGTTGTTCACGTTTTGCATCTTTGTTTTTCGTTTTATCCATTATTGGCAGATTGGTTGTGCGTTGATCGGTTCACTCGGAGCGTTGTACAATGGCGTTTCGCTGATCAACCTGGCCATTGCTTTGTTCGCTCTCGTCGCCATTGAAAGCAGCAGTCAGAGTCTCGGCCGTACCTACGCAGTTCTTCTCCTCTGCTCAATCCTTCTGGATGTCTTCTGGTTCATTCTCTTCTCCCACGAAATCTGGTGAGTGTTTTAGATTTTTTTTTTTAATTTAGGATTTTTTTTTAAATATTTATTTAATGAGCTTGAATTTATGTGAATATGACTGGATTATTGTGTTTAAAGGTATATGTTTAGGGTTATCAGTGAAAGATTGCTGGGATTAATCAATTTTAATTAAACTAAGCATGTTCATTTGTTAATTAACTACAGTTAGTTATGTCTCTTGGGGTCTTTGAGTCTTGGCAGCTCAGAGTCTCCTGATGATCGTGACAAAAGCATATAATTTCTTTCTTTCTTTGTTTTGTTTTGTTTTCTCTTTTTTTTTTTTTTTTTTTTCCTTGTTCATTCATTCAAAAAATTGTATGTCTTAGTGTAGAATCTCGTTAGACTCGTTGAAGTCGCTTGATATTGAGATCCATTTATTTAAGATGATTCTGGAGAAATAAAAGTGGAGTTTCGCCTCATATCACTGTTTCCATGCTTTTATATTTTTATTTTTAATTGTGTATAGATCAGCACCGTATTTAAGATAGGAAAGAAAGAATTTTCCAAGTAATTATGATGGTGATGTATTTGTTTTTAATATTAGTTAAGATAAGATGACTTGCGTTGGTGATCTTTACAATAAAAAGCATCAACTACTTGCTTTCCTCTCTTGCAAACGGATACTTTTACATGTTACCTAAACACTTTCCTTCCTATTTACTCTCCTATAAACATCATCGTTAAGCTCTTCCAATAGATTGAGTGGTTTCATTTATTTGAACTTGGTTTCTTGCTTCTTCTTTTTCCTTTTGTCTTCACGTATCCAAGCTGTTTGTGGTAGTGCCAAAGAAAAGGGACACCTCTATGTTTACTTCAAAATTCTCTTTGATAAATGTTATTTGCTAAAACAATATATCATTTGTTCCAATTCTCCATCAGAAACGAGGGGTGGACTGATAATTTGGGCGTTGCATTAGTGGCTGTCTTTTGTCAGTGTTTTCAACATGTTTTCCATGCAGATGTTGTATACCATAACTAAAGAATCTTACTTCTGTAGTCAGCCATTATGACATGGAAAATTCTAAGCATGTTGATACCAATGACACGCTGTCTACTTATGCACAACTTCTTGTAAAGTGCACAAGAGATACTTTTGGATGTGCTTCCGCCTGATTCCAAGATGTGGGGTGCTAAAATCAGGAGCTATTCTGTTGACACTAGGCATAATGAAGCTCTATCCCTTTTCCTTGGAAATTTACGATGCTCGCTTGGATTTAAACCTGATCACTTAGTACTTTCAGCCATTCTCAAATCTTGTGCTGCTTTGTTTGCCATCAACTTTGGGAAGGCTCTTCATGGTTATGTTGTCAAGCAAGGCCATGTGTCCTGCCGGTTTGTATCAAAAGCACTGCTTAACATGTATGCCAAATGTGGCAAGCTGGATGATTGCAAAAGGCTATTTGGTCACATGGGCTACCAAGATCCAGTCGTCTGGAATATTGTCCTCTCTGGGTTTTCAGGGTCTCGAATGTACAGTAATGAGGTGATGAAGTTGTTCTGTGCAATGCATTTAGGTGGTGAGGTGAAGCCCAACCCTATTACTTTTGCTACTGTCTTGCCAGTGTCTGCTCGATTGGGAGATTTGATTGCAGGAAAATGTGTGCACTCTTATGTGATCAAATCTGGATTTGAAGAAAACAACCTCGTAGGAAATGCTTTAGTATCAATGTACTCAAAATGTGGGCTAGTTTTGTATGATGCATATGCTGCATTTAAAAGCATTAAGCAAAAAGATGTTGTTTCATGGAATGCGATCATTGCAGGTTTTTCTGAGAATGGTTTTATTAACAAGGCTTTCAAATTATTTAGGTGGATGTTGAAAGGACCAACTGAACCAAATGGTGTGACTATTGCAACTATCTTGCCCACTTGCGCTTTGTTAGATAAAAATGTTGCATACTGCTGTGGGAAAAAGATCCATTGTTATGTGCTACAGAGGACTGAATTGGCCGATGATGTGTTTGTGTGCAATTCTTTGGTAAGCTTCTATCTAAGACTTGGAAAGATGAAAGAAGCTGAATGCTTGTTCCAGAGGATGAAATCAAGAGATTTGGTTTCATGGAATGCAATTATTGCAGGGTATACATCAAATGGTGAGTGGTTAAAAGCATTAGATCTGTTTCATAGGCTACTATCAGTATGCGAAATTGGGCCAGACTCGGTAAACTTAAGAACCCTGCATGTAGGGAAAAGTATCCATGGCTATATTTTTCGACATCCTGCCCTAAATGAGGACACGATTGTGGGAAATGCCATGATTAGTTTCTACGCAAAATGCAACAGTGTAGCTGCGGCATTTAGAATTTTTTCAATGATGTCTAAGCGAGATTTGATATCGTGGAATTCCATGCTTGATGCCTTTGCAGAGAGTGGATATGACACTGCGTTTCTGAACCTATTAGCAAAAATGTTTGAGGAAGGAGGTAGGCCAGACCCCATTACCATCTTAACGATAGTTCATTTTTGTGTTAGTGTTTTGGCAGTGGAGAAGGTTAAAGAAGTTCATGGCTATTCAATTAGGTCTGGTTTTTTGCTTGATGATGTTGAGCCTACTATTGGAAATGCAATACTTGATGCTTATGCTAAATGTGGTGTCGTGGAATACGCTAGTAAAACTTTTCAGACTTTATCATATAGAAGGAATTTGGTAACATGCAATTCAATGATCTCAGGTTATGTAAACTGTGGGTCACATGAAGATGCATATATGATATTTAACAACATGTCTGAAAGAGATCTCACAACTTGGAACCTAATGGTTCGAGTTTATGTTGAAAATGATTGTCTTGATCAAGCTCTTCATTTGTTCCATGAGTTACAAGCTCTAGGAGTGAGGCCTGACGCTATGACTATTATGAGCCTAATTCCCATATGCGCTCAAATGGCCTCAGTCTACCTTCTGAGGCAGTGTCATGGATATGTGGTCAGGGCTTGTTTTGATGATGTTCGCTTGAATGGAGCTCTTTTGGATGTGTATGCAAAATGTGGTGCTATAGACTCTGCTTATATGATCTATCAGTCAAACCACAATAAGGACTTGGTCATGTTCACTTCGATGGTTGGTGGATTCGCAATGCATGGTATGGGAAAAGAAGCACTTGGAATCTTCTCCCATATGCTAGAGATGGGTCTAAAGCCAGATCATGTTATCATTACTGCTGTTCTATCTGCTTGCAGTCACGCAGGACTTATGAGTGAAGGGTTAGAGACATTTTATTCGATAGAGAAGGTTCATGGTATCAAACCCACCATGGAGCAATATGCCTGTGTGGTGGATCTACTAGCTCGAGGTGGCCAAATTGATGATGCATTTTCTTTTGTGCAGAGCATGCCTATTGGTGCTAATGCAAACATATGGGGAACATTGCTTGGTGCTTGTAGGAGGCATCAGAAGGTGGAATTGGGACGAATTGTGGCAGATCATCTGTTTCAAGTTGAAGCTGACAATATAGGGAACTATGTGGTGATGTCAAACCTATATGCATCAGAGGCTAGATGGGATGGAGTGGCAGAGGTAAGAAAGCTTATGAGGACTAGAGAACTTAAAAAGCCAGCCGGATGCAGTTGGATTGAAATAGAGAGGATCAAGAATTCCTTTATAGCTGGAGATTCTTCTCACCCAGAAAGAAGCATTATTTATAGCACGCTTAATACGTTGGATCAACAAATAAAGAACCAGCTTAGTTATGACTTGGTAAATGCTTAGAGGTTTTGGTTTTTGGACAAAGTATTTATTCAGAAAATGATTTCAAACTTAATCACCTAAAATCTTTAGAATGTGACTGCTGGAAAAAAAAAAATTGAAAAAATAGAATCTGTCTGCATGGGTATGTTATGTAGACATGTACTCATGACCAACCTTGATGGGTGGATCTCTTTGCCAAAAATAATTGTTGAGTCTCTCATTTGCTACAACTTGTGGTCCATGGATCATTACTCTGTGAAAACAGAACCTCTTTTATCAATCCAGTCTGAGTATGCTTCTGGAGTATGATGATTTTAATCGATTCTTTATCTTTTATCACTTTTGTTTATGCCCCATTTTACGTTCAGAATATCGAGGCGCTACTGCAGTTCTTGATTCTGTTGTGAAGTTCTCTTCTAAACCTTCACTGAAGGTTTATTTATTTATTTATTATTTATTTTTTTTAATAAAGAGAATATTTTGTTGATTAAAGTCCCGGCTTTTGTTTGAGGTAAATCTTAGACTTCTATTGTCTACTGACCTCCTGAACTTGCATGTTGCTATGTCCACGTCTGGTGTTCAATATAATACACACACACATTCTCTCTTTCTTTCTTTGTTCTTCTTCTTCTTCTCTCTCTCTCTTTTTAATACTTTTGTCTCTTTCCTTTGAATATTTGGATTATCTGAGTCATTGTTTGGTGATCATATAAAGAAGGTTTCAGTCATTTGTTTCAATCAAAGATATGAATGTCTTGATTTTCTACCGAAGACCTTTATATATTGTTTGTGAAATACGCAGTCAGGAGAGGCTGAGTGAAATGGGTTCCTTTCATTGACAGTAGTTGCAATTTAGATGGTTCTACTTTCCCTCCAATATTCTACATCCTCTTCAAACTGAGCTTGTGCACACATGTTATTTTATTTTATTTTATTTTATTTTCGAATCATTAATCATCTAGCCACATCTTGGCCACTTGTGATCTATATTGTCTCCAGTTTGGTGTACAGCATACTTGCTTCTCCTGAGGTCTTGCTTAAAACTTGTAGCTGCAAGTTAATAAAGTTTCCATAAAAGCTCTGACTTTGAATCGCTGCTGCAATACTTACGAATACTATTTGTAAAAGTTGCTGATATTGGATTTTCCTGATTGTGTTTGATAATACTCTTTTCTCTGACATCTATGATTTCACCATTGAATATGCGACTGGAATTCTGTTTCTGTGTGGGCTATTGAGAATAATGTTTCATAATATTTTTCTCCTTGATGCCATGGTCACGTGCATGCATTCCAGTGGAATTTGTCATTTGCCAGACTTTTTAGGTCTGGTTGCCCTTGGATTTGCGATGGACATTTACATTGACTAGTTTGTGACAAAAGTCTGAGCAAATAATGCTTTTTTTATTTTATTTTAATTAATTGACTAAAATTGATGATAATGAAGTAAGCTTTTGCATGCACATGCATGTAGACATATCTACACATCACACAAACATGCTAGTAGCTTACACTCCTCAAATTAAAATGAAAAAGATGCATATTTTTATTAAACCCTCTTTCTTCCTTGTAGCACAATTTTCTGTTAGGTATTTACTTCTGAGGAAATGGTTATAATCGTGCTTTATAAATATTTTATGGAAAGTATTATTTGTGCATGCAGGAACATTTCTTCTGAGAAATATGGAACATTTTTTATCTTTTCAGTGAAACTCACCCTGGCAATGCAAATTATTGGCTTTTCTGTGAGATTATCGTCATCACTGTTATGGATTCAGATATACAGGTTGGGGGCTTCGTATTTAGATACACCAGTTCCAGGAGAAACCGATTCTGATTTAAGAACCAGTTTTTTGAGTCCTCCCACTCCTGCTGCAGCAAGGCAGTCCTCAGGTTCTGATGAGGTTTTAGGGGGCTCTATTTATGATCCAGCTTATTATTCATCCCTATTTGAAGATGGTCGGGAGAATAAATTTGCAATTCGGGTATTGTATCTGACTTAGAGTTGTGGTTCTATACACTTAATATTCTCTTGAATGCAGTTAAATATTTCCTTTGTTATATTGTATAGGAGTGTTTGACCTCATTTTATACACATGATACTAGAAATTTAATTAGTTCCTACCATTAACATTTCTCTTTGCTTTCTGGTTCCCCCCACTTTAAGAAGGACAAGAAACCTTTTGTCATTTTCTTGCTGTGGCCTATGCTTTTATTGAGTCTTTGCTCTATGCTGTTTGGCGTTATGAAATTTTGAAACTTTTGTTTGTAAGATGTGATTTTTTGTTCCTCTTAATTTGGTTTTTTTTTTTTTTTTTTTGTTTGGATTAATTTAGTGAGGTAGATATGCTGCTGCTGAATCCTATCCCGATGTCATTTTGAAGCTGCATCATAAGTGCTAGTCCACATTCCACTATTTGTCTTGATTTGTACTAATAAAATGCTTTTGGACATTTATGCTGGCTAACATTTGCAGTTTTTTGTATGTCTTGAAATATTACTATTTCTTAGACATGAGAGCAAAGATGGTGTGTTTGATTGTAACCAGTTTGCATCTGCTATTACTCTTGTAGGGTCAGAATCATGCCATTGATAGTCCTGGATCCACTTCTACTGCTGATATTTCTCCGCTGAAGCTATCCTTAGGCAGATCTTTTAAGAGTGTAGATGTAAGTTTCTCAAAATATATCTCAACATTTAAGTTAACTTTGAGTGACATAACAGTTTGTATGCCTACTTCTGCTGTTACTTTTGTAGGGTCATCATTATGCCATAGGTGGCAATGGATCTACTGCTAGTGCCGATGCTTCTCCACTGAAGCTGTCCATAGGCAGGTCTTTTCAGTCTGTAGATGTAAGTTTCTCGGGTGTACCTCTACCTTTTAACTTAACTTCGAGCCAGATGATCAATTTGTATGGTTAAATCATGATAAACTTTCCGTATCATTTTATGGTGTGTTAGTGCAGTTTCCTCATCGTCTTATGGTTAACTAAAAGGATATCTTCCAGGAACTTGTGGTGTATTTATTTTTGTTTTAGAGTTGACTTCAGTATCAAATAAAGTGGCAATATTTGCAATTGAGGCAATTCAAATGAGTTTTCCCTATAATGTTTGTGATACTCGAAATAAGTCTTTTATTCAAATGAGATTTCGTAATATTCTGTAAAAGGACACCAAAAAATTTCTTCCTTGCACTTCCATAAATTTTAAAAGCTGAACTACCAGGAAGTTCATTTATTTAGGTCACTGGTGCAATGTATTTCGAAGCGGAAAATACCGCTCATGCCAAGATAATATGTTGGTTGGATAACTTCAATTTTTCAAGTCATTGCATCCACTTCCATGCACATTGTTTGTTGAATGTGTTCTTCTTGCTTGAGCTAACAAGATATTTATTTGTCGGTAGGATAACTTCGGTTTTAATTGATTTTCGTTGCCGCAGGAGGAGAATACAGGTGGCAGCTTCAGCCATTTCTAATTTGAGCATGGCAATTGGCGATTTTTTCTTTTTTTTTTTTTCCGTTTCCCCCGAGTATGTCGCTCTCCATACTCATCGCTTTTGAGGTTTGTTTGCTTCACACAATGCGGCCGGGACGGTATGGGAGTGGGCTATGACGCTATGTACAGTTACCGAGTTACAGGTTATATTAAGCAATTTAAATTTTTTTTTTCTTCCCAGGATAGGAAAGCTGCCAATCACGGCACATGAGAAAGGAGACCACATGATTGATTTATTTAGTAATATTCTATAAGGAAAACAATATTGTTAAAAGGATTTACCGTCAGTGATATTTCAGTTGAGATTTTGACAGTTATCCCAAGCCTAATGAGTCCAACACTCTTGCGTTTAGATTGTCAAGAAGCGGACTGGGCATGTAAACTTAGCAGTGAGTCTGCTTGTACAAAGCAATGCACTTTTAATGGGTCGGACTCCGAGCCCATCGGGCTCTTAACATTTGGGGTAGGAATGGGCCTATCTGTATCATGGCCTTGCACAGTAAGCTTTTTTTTATTTTTTTTAAATGGCATATTCAACGTTTATGGAACTACCTAGCATTCTTTAGCAAAACCGAACACTTTTTTTAGCCATCTCTTCTAAGCTTTGTAATTAGAACATTGGTTAACCAAAAGATCTTCCCCTATGCACTAAAACAATCACCAAACAATAAGAGATCATTCGACAAATGGATCAAAAGAATCTCTCAGTACTTTTTTGTTTCCCTTGCTGAGAAAAAAGAATCGAAAACTATAATAAAATTGAGGAAACGAGATTTGGTGAGCGCTTTGTACTATGCAATGAATCAAAGTTGTGACTTGTGAGCCAACTGAAAAAGGACAGTTTTGGAAATGTGGAATGACGGACATTAGAAAAGAAAAGAGAAGCTGCTTAGTCCACGCAATAGTGGACTTGTGGCTGAGGAGGGCTTCCCTCAATGACACGCTTACGGGGTTATTTTCTGTATTCGTCTCTGATTTTGAATTATAATTTATTTTTTATAGTGCTTTTTTCTCACAAAAAAACACACATAAAACGATAATAGTTTGGAATTATGGTTCTGAATCTATAAACTAAACGTAAATTAATTAGTAAAGAAGAAAAAGAAAAGAAAAAAAAAAGTGAGACTTAAATTGGATTTGGGGCCGACTGGCAAGTCTAGTTACCTTAGATTCCATCTCTATGCTATGAAAAGCAAAACATCATAGTTTGGAACGATTATCTTTGTTATTATTGCTTTTGTCACATTATTCATCGGCCATTAGTTCTTTCTTTTTTCTCTCACTATTTTTCAATTTTTTAAAATTATAGCAATTTAAAACAAAAATAAATTAGAAATTCACTATAAAAGACTTCTAAACATATGCACACCAAATCTTGGTAATAATGCATCAAAATAACTAATTATATTTTGAAAATTTATTTTATACATATTTATTTACATAATATATATTTATATTAATATTAGGACAGAAGGTGGGGAGTACTTCTTCCCTCCTTACTCCACTGCAACTCTGGGACTAGCTTTTATTCTCATCCCATCTTCATCCTCAATTATCGTCCCCATCCGCACCCTTTTCGGAGGCTCATCCCCATTAAATATATTCAATTTTTTTTTTTAACAATCATGTTCTGATATGTAAATTACAAAGGGCTTATTTAGATTGACTTAAAAAAAACTACTTTTAACTTATTTAGTTTAAAAGTTGTTTTTAAACTTATTTGAATGAACATCTTAAAGTGTTTTGACTTTTTAAGCACTTTTGGAGCAAGACATAGTGTTTATGAAAAGTTTTTTTATTTATATTTTTAATCTTTTATTTGTAAATAACATATTAAATAGTTCATCTATATCCTTTTATTACATTACTTTTTATAAAAATACGTGTTTTTGACTTTTTTATTCAAACATGTTCAAAAACTCTTCTTAGATATAAAAACACTTTTTTCAAACACTATCCAAACACTAATAAAAAAACCTCTAACTTATACTTAGCTTTTTTTACCACTTAAAAATACAAACCATCCAAAACGGGTCCAAAATTAATCCTTCTAAGACAAAGAGTGCGTTTGAAACTCGTTCTAAAATGATTTTATTTTTTGTATGAAATGAAAATGAAAATGTTTTCAATCTTAGACATAAATCATTTTTAAAAATGCGTTTGGTAGTTTTATCAATAGATTATTTTCAGTATAAAAAAACTCATTAATATCTCTCTTTCTCTCTGCTCGAGAGAGGAGAAAACGAAAACAAAAAATGAAAAATGACTAAAAATCATTTTTCATTTCTCTTTCATTTTACACTAAATCAAAAAATTATTTTTATTTTTATTTTTTATTTTTATTACGCCAAACACTATTTAAAAAACGTTTTTATTTTTTTTTAAATATAAAAAATAAAAATGAGATCAATTTTAAACACGACCAAAGTTTCACATGCTCTTTTTCTTAAAGAATTGGAAAAACGTGTGTGGTGGCTTCAAGTATATATGATTGTGATTATGCAGGGGTGAGGTTGCTGTCTGACTTTTGGATTTTGGGAACAAAAGAAATGAATCAATATTGCCAGCACAAACGCGTCTTCAATAAAGAATAACAAAAAATATAGCCAAAAAAATAAAAAAAAAATCAAAATGTTGCATATACAGCCAAAACAAAAGAATTAGCAAGGAAATTACAGTGTCACAGTACGTAAAAGCAATTAAAATAAGAAGGAGGAAAAAAAAAAGAAAAAAAAGGAAAATTGAGACTTAGAAGGATGAAAAATAGAAAATATCAAATAAAGGCAAAACAGAAAAAACAAAGTTGGAAAGGATGGTTTGGTTGGCAACCCTGTGGTGGTGACCAGAATTCCATGTTTCCTTCGTCTAAAATTTCCAAAATAAAAAGAAAAAGGGAAAATTTACAATCTAATTCCAAGGCTGAGCAAAGGATTTTCTCAAATTACTTGGTGGGTTTCTCATAATTTGGTCTCTTCAACTTTTTCAATCTTTCCTGATAATTCTTTCAAATTTTTAATTAATTATTTTCATTCTTTTTTTTTTTTTTTGAATTTTTGCTTTTGCGTGTCAATGCGTTCTTCCTCTGAAATGCGATTTATAAATAAAATATTGATAACAATAAAAAAAAGAATAGGGTAATTATTTATTTATTTGTTTTTTTAAAGAGAGAAAAAAAAAATTCAACGGAGTAGAATATCCTGAGGCGTATTTGTGTTTTTGCTGTTGTTGTGATGTGATGTCATAGTTATATGCGTTTTTTTTTTTGGTAGAAAGTCATAGTTATATACGATTGGTTTTTGCTGAATCTAGATTCTTCTTTTCTTCATTTACAAAAATCCGTCTCAAAATGATTTTCTCCCACACATATATCAATCGTTCGGCTCAAAAACCCTGAAATTCTCTGCTGTTCAGGCCTCAATAATTCAATTTCGGTAAGATTCATAATCAATTTTCCTCTCTCTATTTTTTTTTTTTTTTTTTTTTTTTTTTTTATTTTTTCTCTCTTTTTTTTTTTTTTTTTTTTTTTTTTTTTTTTTTTTTTTTTTACTTTTTGTTCATGTGATCCAGAATAAATTTGGGATTTTCCTTCGTTTTTTCTTTTTTTTTTTTTCCTGGATGAGGAATTTTCAATTCCTTATCAGAATTTTTCTTTCTGGATTCGTAATCCCAGCTCGTCTGTGGAAGATTTGGACCTGAAAATTACTTCCCGAGAATCGTTTAGGCTTTTCTTTTTCGTTTTTATTCCAATTTTTTGTCTCTGCTGATTGTTGTTCTGGCTTAGATCTGCAACAGGGGTTTGCTAATTCTTCTGATTCCTTTTCCGTTGAGCAATTAATTGTGTGTGAATTTTTCTTTTTTGGGTTTGATTCGCTCAATTCTGGGGTTTTGTTGTGACAGAGTGATCGAAAAGAAGGAGAGAGAGAGTAGAGAAAAATATGGAAGAAACAATTGCTTCAAGGTATTGGTGCCACATGTGCAGCCAAGAAGTGAATCCGATCATGGAGGTTGAGATCAAATGCCCCTTTTGCCAGAGCGGATTCGTTGAAGAAATGAGCAGCATTGATAGTAGTAACAACAACCCCAATCCGGAGGGTGGTCGCAATGCAGATTTTTCCGACTCTGATTTCGGATCTGATCGCGCCCTTTCGCTCTGGGCCCCAATCCTTCTCGGCATGATGGGTCATCCCCGTCGCCGGAGGAGATTTAGGCGGCTAGATTTTGACGACTACGACGACCATGATGTTGTGGATGATGGGGAGAGTGAGGATCATGGTGGAGAGACTGAGTTGGATAGAGAACTTGAGTCCATTATAAGGAGGAGGAGGAGAAGCTCAGCTACAATTCTGCAACTTCTCCAAGGGATTCGAGCGGGATTGGCTTCAGAATCACAGAATTCGGAGAGTTTTAGGGACGGAGATAGGGAGAGAGATGAAAGGGAGAGAGTAATTCTGATCAACCCTTTTAACCAGACAGTCCTTGTTCAGGGTCAGAATGAGAATCAGAACCCAATTGGTTCATTGGGTGATTACTTTATTGGACCTGGTTTGGATATGTTGCTGCAACATCTGGCTGAGAATGATCCTAATCGTTACGGGACTCCACCAGCGCAGAAGGAGGCTGTTGAGGCGCTGCCCACCGTGGCTATCAAGGAGAATCTGCAGTGCTCGGTGTGCTTGGATGATTTTGAGATTGGTGCTGATGCAAAGGAGATGCCTTGCAAGCATAAGTTCCATAATGGTTGTATTCTGCCATGGCTTGAACTTCATAGCTCGTGCCCGGTTTGCCGGTTTCAGTTGCCATCCAATGAGTCCAAACGCGATTCTGATGGTACGAGGAATGCGAATGTGGAAAGGGCAATGAATATGATTAGCAGTGAAAACAATAGTTCTGCTAATGGTGGGGATGAGGGTGATGGAGATGGTAGAAATGGAAGTGGGAGAAGGTTTTCGTTTCCATGGCCTTTTAGTGGTTTGTTTTCTTCCTCGGGATCGCAATCTAGTGGTGGAAATTCATCTTCTTCGTCAAATGCATCGGGAACTAGTGGTAGTGGAAGTTCTTCTTCTCAAGCAAATGAGAATTGAGTGAACATTGGTTGGGTTATTGCATCAGGTTCTTGTTCATTAAGCTTGCTTGCCTCTATCTTGCTTGTTGTACATAGTTGTCTTACTTTACTGAGTTTGAAACTCGCAAGTTTAAAATTGTGTTTGTACGTGTTGGTCTTTTGTAGATTTTTTTTTTCTTTTTGCCGTTTTTACAGAATACTTTTGGTTTATTTTTATAAATGCCCTTCCAATTATGTACTCTGTTTCAAAATATCCTTTAATTTTCTAAAATCATTCATTATGCCCCTTAATATATAGAAAACAGTTCAAAATGTCTATTCTGTCAAAATCCATCTATAATTCTAACGGATTGCTGACTAAAGCTTTTTAATTAAAATTAGTTATATAAAAATAATTAATATTAAAAAACAATAAAAAAGGAATTAAAGGAAAAACCCAATATCCATAGCAGAAAAAACCTAATATCTGTTGCGCCGTGTTAGCATAATCCGTTAGTGTTATAGACAGGGAAGGAGTATTTTGAACTGTTTTTTATAGATCAGGGGTGTAAATGAATCGTTTTGAAAAATTAGAGGTATTTTGAAATAAGGTACATAATTTAGAGGGATTTATGAAAATAATCCAATACTTTTCTGCTCGTTATGTACAAAAATTCAATTCCAAATATGTGTTGCTGCCCTTTCAGAAATTTGATGGAAGAAGTATTTTTCATTTTGTCTGAATTCTGAATTTTGTGTTTTGGTATTAGGAGGTGGGGCCCAGTTGTTGGAGCAAAACCTTATGATATTTAATATGGAGATGGACTTTTTGAGAAAAATCCCACGTGGGATCTTGAGTCATTGCATGAATCCCGTGGGTAACGAGATAGAAACTTCTCGTGCCCACTATCAATGACTTGGAAATATGTTTTGATATATTAGTCCTCTAAAAGATGCCCAACTAATGGAAATGGACTATCCCACAAGAGAATAATATAAATGTAACATGGGATGATATTGGACGGATAACTCGAGTTTGAGAGGGTATAGATGAGACAAATTGCAGGCCCCTTTTTTATTTTTTTTGCTTAAATCATACGCTGCACCCCATGTGAATTGTCTACTTTTCAATTTACTTTTGATTGGTCTTAAGATTTCTCGGTGTATGTTGATCTGTCCAATGTTGATTACATAATCCTTTTTCCAATGAGCATTATGTATGTATGCATGATCCTGTTCTAGCCTCTGGGTGGCAAAAAGGACAATTTCCCATGTTCCAGATGCTTTGAATTGTTAGCCTTTCATTTGTTGGATCTCCTCGCAAAGTTTTGAAGAGCTGAAGGGATTTTCATCATCATTATTATTATTATTGACTTAGGGTTTGCCGAAGATGAATTACACAACACAACAGAAAATTTGAGTTTATACAACGGAATAGTAAAAGGGCAACATTTTGACTTTTCGAAGAAGCACCAAGTTTTCTTAAAATTGTTTGTTGACTGCTTCTTAGTCGCCTGCTTGTTTCTGACCCAGTTTCTCCCCATAGGTGAGATGCAGTTTCAGATAATTTGGCGCCTTCATAAAGAATCAGATTACAAAGTTTCAATAGTTATGTATACATTCTGCCTGCAAAATAGGAAATTTTTGAAAGGAAAATAATAAAAGCTTTTCCTCTGGTTATGCAACTTTTTCCAGCAAAAAAAAAAAAAAAAAAAAAAAAAAATCTTTAAGCTTTGTTTCAACACGGCAAAAGGACATAAAAACCAACCAGAAAATAGAGATATTAGGATACGTGATTCAAGCAGAAAATGACAATCCCACCAGGCAACGCACAAAACAATTTCTAATAAAATCCAAAAAATTTGAGAAAATATTTTAATAATTCAGCTAAGTTAGATAGGACTTGGGAGTATATAAAAATGGTAGGTAATGTGTTTCTATCCCGAAACACAACGTAGTAGCAAAATTATCTGAGGGTGTATCACAACCCCAGCCAAAACAATAACAAAGACCTTTTTCCTTTGGCAAAAACAAAAAACATGGAAAAAGAGAATTCAAAAATTTAAGTGTATCTGATAATCACTTGACAGTCAAGATCTTGATGACAGAGGCAGTTCCATCACGGTGAAGAGCCACAACAGAATCTCCACTCTTGCAGAGGCCCCTCGACTTGGCATGTTGAATGGCAGATTCGAGAGATTCTTCGGTAGTCTCAGCATGAGAGGCCCTTGCAGATCCTGCACTTAAAACCGGAACCAACCCTCGGAAAATCAGGCTATGCCTTGCTGGGGATTCATCACTGCATGACCAATCAAAGCAATCGGTCTTGATCTCAGGGACGACAATAGACAAAATGGGCATGCCTGGCCTGTACTTGGCCACCAGTTTTGCAGTACTTCCTCCCCTGGTTAATACTAGTATAAGAGTTGCTTTTGATGAGTTGGCCATCTTCACAGCAGAGGAAGCCAAGCTTTCCAAAGGACTCATTGGCACTGGTGAGTGTTCCATAATCCTCTTAAAGACATCCCCATAATCAATGGTGCTCTCAGCTTCTACGCATATTTTAGCCATGGTTCGAACTGCGAGTTCAGGGTAGGCTCCAGCAGCCGTTTCACCACTTAGCATGACACAGTCAGTACCATCAAGAACGGCATTTGCAACATCAGTGGCTTCGGCTCTAGTTGGTCGGGGTGACTTGATCATGGACTCCAACATCTGTGTTGCTGTAACAACAGGTTTTCCTTGGATGTTGCACTTGTAGATCATCACCTTCTGTGCAAGAAAGATCTTCTCAATGGGGATTTCCATTCCGAGATCACCTCGTGCCACCATAAATGCATCTGACTTTGCAAGGATGTCATCAAAATTAGCCACACCTTCTTGATTCTCAACCTACAATCAATTCCAAAGGAAACAACCCAGTTAAGAAACCAATTAATTGAAACTTGAAAGTGACTTGTCAAGAGCATTACATTTGCAAAAGCTGCAAAAGTTTCAAAAATATTGAGAGCAATCTCTCATAACAAGTTACTCTTCTGAACGCCTACCCTAGTTTCTGTTCAATCAACAGCTGCACGAAATCATGCATAAATTAATTCAATTTCTTGGGAAACAATTAGTACCTTGGACATGAGAAGGATCTTCTTGGCGTTCTTCCCAAGTAGCTTCCTGACCTCTACCAGGTCAGAACCTTTCCTTACAAAAGACAGAGCAATCATATCAATCTTATTTGGAACACCCCATTGCAGAATATCTTCCTTGTCTTTCTCCGTCAAGGTTGGGAGGTCCACTATAACCCCTGGGAGATTAACATTCTTTCTCTCACCAAGAACAGCGGAGTTCTCACATCGGCACCTAACCAACCCCTTTTCCACATCGCAACTTAAAACTGTAAATGAGATGGTACCATCAGCACAAAGTATCACCATCCCTGGCTTGACATCCACAGCCAACTTTTTATAGCTCATGCAGATCATGTTCTCATCACCCTTTATGCTATAGTCAGTGGATATGGTGATTTCCTGACCTTGCTTCAGTTGGATGGGTTTCCCATCTTTCAAAAATCCAGTTCGAATCTCCGGACCCTATAACATTGCATGAGACAATGGAATCAAGAATTATGAGGTCCTTAACAGCATCTAAAATCTTTGCAGCCAAAATAGGCTATTATGAGAAATAAAGAGGGAAAACTATGAAAACATGTAAAGTAGATAAGAGATACCGAAAATCAACAAATCAATTTCACTTGAAATTATTCCTCCTTTGCCAATAAATAAACTCATCATGACCAAAAACTTAGGGACATAACTTGGAGTTCAAATTGAAAACTTAATCGTGAAAAATCAGATTTTACCACGGGAAATCAGACTAAACCATTTCACTCAATACTCTTGTTCCTTTCCCTA